CGCCCCATCCGTACTTTGCCGTTGTCTTATGGACCTACAACTAAAGACACGCCACTCAATGGAGACAAGGTGTTGGATAAGGAAAGAGGGGAATCTCTGACAACATTTGAGAATATCTCTAGTAATGAGACAGTATTTCGATCTTCATAAATCTCCACCCTTAAACCACTTGCACTTTCATTTCTGCACTTTTTTGCTGATGCAATAGTGACATCATAATCATGTTCCAGTCTACTTAAAGGTGTACCGTCAACAAAATGCTTAGAGAATGAAGTAGGAAAGAAAATCTTCCTAGAACAAAGCTTTGAGCTTGCTAACTTGGCTCACTCTCAGTGGAGAGAAGTTGAATGAAATGTTTATTTTAAATTAGCAATGCCTTTTTCCACTGTGACTCCCACCCCGGCTGCCAGGACCCCGCTAGAATGAACCCTTTTGTCCACCGTATTTGGACGAGGTGTCCCACATGGTCTTCTGGCTTGGCTCTCTGGGTTTGGTCACTTATATATTCTGCCTCTTGAGAAACAGCGTGCCTTTTCCACACGTTGGCTTCCCATTTAAACATTTACTGTAAATGGGTCAGCAGATGTTGACGAAAAAAAATGAAGGGAGGAGATGTAGAAAAAAGAAGATTACTGGACTGTGTCCACACAGAGGAAAGAAAAATTTGAGTCACGGAGCCATGTGATTGGTTTAAAATATCAGCCTAAGGAGAAAACGTTGCTTTACTTTGACAGGTTATTCAGTGCAAAGTAAAATCATTACTCTCCCTTCAACTTTTTCACAATTTGTCACTTATAAAAATATATGTATTATTGTGATAGACCGACACAAAGTACTGTAGAATTATAAAGTTGAAAAAAAAAACAACAACAAAAAAAAACAATAGATTTATTTTTTTTAAGGATTTCTTAAAATCCTGGTTACTTTTATGTGGTAGTGACTGGAAAATGGGTTGTGAGAGAGACAGGAGACATGCAGCAAAGGTAAACAGGCCGAGATTCGAACCTGTGACAGAGAACATGCATGCGTGGGTCGCATGCTTCGCCCCTGTGCCCTCAGCGAACCCCAAAAATAGTAGATTTCAAAGTTTTTTCAGAACAAGTCTTGTAGGAGTGATGTGCGACAGTAGTGTCCTATGTTTTAGTCCACCTTGTCAAAATGTTATACATGTATATAGAGATCTAAACAGAGATCAGACTTTAAATATTGTTGCTCAAGGGCAAATACTGTTCCTGTTTTGGTTTTTTTTGTCATTTGTTTTCTTGTGAAGATCTTCATACTGTATGTCTGGGGTTTTACATTTTACAAGAAGAGTGATCAGACAATATATTTTGCACTTTACAAGTGCAGAGATGATGGTGTTATCTTGCTCTGAGGAAACAACATCTGACTCATAACTCTTCTTGATAGGACTGTCAGTGTGCTAATAAAGATCTGATGTTTATAATGTTTTAAATCGTTGCGTCAGTTTTTGGAGAAAGCAGTTACCAGAGAGAGTTATGGCCCAAAACTTACTGCAGACCTATTGGATGAAGGGTGTTATGAGTCACTGGGCCGTGCATCAAAAAGTCACAAGACTGGAAATTTCATCCAGGAAAAAAAAAAAAAAAACAGTTCAGGAATATGATGAGGAAGAGACAATCTGTCTGTTTCCACTTGAAGTAGTCATTCATTGTCTCTGTAGGAACGATTTTCCCTTTATTTTTATGCACTTACAGAGCCATAAAGTCTCATCTGACAGCATTGTGCTGCACCAGGCCTGTATGCCAGTGCATTGGTGTGCTTATTGTTCATATTTTGCTTCTGGGTTACATGTACACAGCAGACACAGTGAAGGTGGCCATTTGGCTAGATGAGCAATAGGTCGCTCCTGCTGGTTTCCTTCCAGCAGCTCTATTTTACTGCTGCAGTGTCTCTAGGGACGTCTGCAGGGTGCATCTGCCGGTTCAGCAGGCCAACAGCAAAGATGGAGATCATGAAGTCATAAGCACTGTGTTCACATTTCTGCAATTTAAATCACAGCTGCATGATGTCAGAAATGAGATGTCATATTATTTTTCCTGTGGTGAATATCACAATGACAAAAAAAAAAAAAAAATACCTATGGTCTTTGTTCATTAAAGATGTTTTACAGTGGTGCATTTTTTTATTTTGTGCTAAAATTTCCGTTAACCATAAAAACACAGTTTACAGAATCTAAAAATTTAACTGAAGTCACTCAGGCAAACTTGCAAAGAGGCCTAATAAAAGGACTCTGATGTTTTGCAACACCTCTAGAGATGTGGATGTGGAAGCTTGTGTTTTTTTTTTTTGAGGGGCTGGGCGGGTAGATTTTATCTACAGCTACAGAATAATTAAAGTTACCCTATTAGCAACAAACCATATCTATAGCAAATTTAAATTTACACAGTTTCTTACTGTTGATGAGAAACTTTGAAGGAGTGTTGCTGTGGCACCGCTGAAGAATAAAAATGTAATATATTTACATTATATATTGACAGCAACGAGGAAAGTGGATGAAATTACAAGCACGGAGCTAATTATAGCTTCGTAGTTTCATTACATTATTTTAATTATGATGATATTAGTTTATTAAAGACATGGAAGCTGAGAATAAGGTCTAGTAGCTTTAATAAATCATCTCAAAATGAGCATTTTTTTTTTCCGGGTAACTGCATCTACAATTAAACAAACATGGAACAATAGATGTATTCTTACTTGAAATAGAAAAATTAACATCACAGCATTAAAAGTGGCTGTGAAAACTCCTCTACCTTACACTGAGGGTTTATGCAGGGACAAGGGCAATATGCAGAGACCTTTCCTTTCAGCGCTGCTGTGCAGAGCATTGTGCAGAAGTCTGCTTCATCAATCCTGCTTGCTGCCTGAAGGGAGGCCCAGGTGGGCCAGGCAGGGCAGCATCAGACAGCCACTTTATTTCACTCTGCCTGAGGGAAATTAGTCTAATCTAATGGGAGGCTTTTAGGCGGTCTGCGTGAATAAATAAGCGTACTCTCCGGTTCTTGGTGTGACTTTCTCAATCAAAAGTTTTCCTTCACCTATTTTGCCAAGAGGCTGAGTTGTCACTCAGCAGGAACAGTTTGCCTGTTTCGTAAATTAAGTCGAAAAAGAGAATTTAAAAATGGAACAGAATATTTAACTTAAGACGGACTTCAATAATTCCTTGCAGGTCGTAGACAAAGCAGACAAAGCTGTTGAAATGATGCATGTGACGCCGGGGCCTGTAGTCAACACCAGAAGGCAAACGGAGAACGCTATTGATCAGAATCTCAGTTGGATGGATCATGATACACAGGATCTCATGATCAATACCGCCCAGAGTCTCAGTCAGGAATCAAATTCCTTTCACCTTCGCTGCTGCTTTGGTGTTTGGTGGTAAATAGCGAACAGAGAGAGATCAAATAAGGGATCAATATTCTGCTGAAGATCTCTTGCTTTATTGGTTGCTATGTGGAGAAGTGTGATTTGATTAACTAATTAAATACAATGGGTAATTTGGAGAAACAAGTTCTTTACTTTCTTTATTTATAGTCTAAATCTATTATGGGTCAAGGTTTGGTCATTGATCACATAGTGAGCCAACTATGAGTCAGTATGACCTAGGAGCAACCAAAGAAACTGTTTGATATTTGCCATTGAAAAAAACAAACAAACTAAATAAAGATAGACCAACTTCAAAAAGAATATTTAAAAAATCTATTCTGAAAGGAATGATGAAGCACTGAAAGCACATGAAAACCGCTGACCAAGAAATTCCTCTACTTGGAAATCAGCTCCAGGTTCTTTTTTAAACCCAAGTTGCTCTTGGCCTTTTATTTTGTGTTTTGTGGTGGATACAGCAGAAGATGGTTGGAGAAAGCATATTGGCAGCATCGTGAGTGACCAAGGCTCCCTGATGTTTGAGGGGAACGAAGGCTGGTCCAAGTTTGCTACTGTCAGAATGGAAAGAGGAGCATGGTCTGATTATTCCTGTTTGTGCTTACAATATGTGGATGGGAGTGTGTGCGTGTGAATCATCTACGCAGGGAACAAATGGCACCAGGATGCACTTGTTGCGATGTTTTTCCTGGTCTTGGTTTCAGCCGTCCTGTTGAGTCCAGGCCTGGTCAGGTCAGGTTAGTAGCAAAAGAGGAGCCAACGTAATATTGGCAGGTGGTCATAATGTTATGCCTGATCTGTGTGATTGGTAATGGAGTTCTACATGCCTTTTTATTCCTTCTCTATGTGTGTTTTTTAAAAACCAGGATGGTGTCATTTTGCTTTTATTCCCTTATGCAATCATCTTCTTCACCAATAACAATCTGGCCTTGAATGACAATGCACAGCGGTGCACCTGAGTGCACTGACACACAAATACGAAAACACACACACACACATCCTGATGGATAAATGCAAAATGTTACAGAAAATAACACAATGCAACTGATCATTTCTTAAATTGTAATTCATTTAGCTTTTCATGGAAAATAGAGCTGTGCCGATAGCTTTTGTGTCTTCCTGTGCTGTTTTGGAGCATGTTGTTTGGTTTTATCTCTGCAAAAAAAAGGCAAGCATAGGAAAACACAAAACATAATTTTAGATGAAAGGTTCGCTGATGTGTTGATTTGAGATCAAAGAAATGTTTTCTGCTCATTCACTCTGACAAATGTGCCTTCCTGATTCGCGGAGCCCCCCAGCTCCAGCATAAAGAGAGGCTGAAGGAGTGAAAAAGGCTTTATGTAGATACTTTAAGGGATTTTATTGGCAAGACACATTGATTTCACAGCAAAGCATCCGTCACATAGTTTTAACTCAATAACAACACAAAAAAGATTAAAAACTGTTTTTTTTTTTTTTTGTTTTTATATAAACTTGACTCTATTGCCAAGAAATTAATACTTAACTTGTCAGGTTTTGTTGAGTTGTATTTCACATAATACAACTCAGCGTCTCCCTTCGTCCCTGTATGCTAATTGCTTTTTGTTGCCATGTTCTCTCAGGTCCACACAGCACGGTTTCACGCTGCCCACCCAACGAGTTCCAGTGTGGGGGGACAGAGCTGTGCATCCACATGAGCAAACTGTGCAACGGCGTCTCGGACTGCACCGACGGCTGGGATGAGGGACCTCACTGCAGAGGTAACGCCGTGCTCATCACCTAGCTGGAAGCATTTTTGCAACTGAACAACTGAACAATTTTGCACTAGAACAACTGGATTAACGTTACAAGGTCTGTGTTAAAGACTGCGTGATGTAGCGTATCGAGACTGCTGTGAGTGTTGGACGTTCTCAGCGTGGAACAGAGTCGAGATGCTTTATTCGATCTGCACAAATTGGGGAAGTCGCCGTTCTGAAACTTGAAATTGGGAACCTGTTTATGATGACTCCAATCAATGTCGCGTCTTTTTAAAGAAATTGCTGACTGAAGTCAAAACAAATGAGAACCAAAATATGAAAAAGAGCTGATATAAACGCATTATGTGTGAAATCTGAGGGAGCAGAAGAAGTAAAACTTTCATTATGATGTTATGTGAATTAAAGGTTAACAACCAGAAATAATCTCGGATTACACAACAAATCAGCGGATGTAGAAAATCAGAAATCTGTGCCAGTCTTGCTTTAGTTGTTGTTCATTTTTGAACATCTTTGGCAGTATTTTTGAGCCTGTCCACACTAGAGCAAACCATTTAAGAAAAAAAAAAATAATAATTGCAATGTCCGTCTTGCCCTTCAGTAATGTAACCATGTGAGTTTAAGTAAATTATGCTGCAGCCTGCTTTTGATGCTGTAGCAGGCTTTGATTTGAACTCTAGCTAAGACTGTTGCGACTTTATGCAGATGCTCCGTCTGCACCAATGAAGATTTGCTCACCTCAACATGGAGGATTCTTCAAGTGACTGTCATGCAGCAGACATGGCCATATTTTCTAGTTATGTAGTGATAATAATTATGTAATGCAATTGAACACATCAGAAACTTTTTCATTCAAGTTTTTTCTTCTAAAGTTTGTTTAAAGTCAGATTTTTTTATTTTTTTATTTTTATTTTTTTTTGCCCTTCATTTAGATTTGGGCAAATTACTTCCTGAAATCCTCAGGAAATGTTTCTCTTTAGATGTTGCTTTGCTGTTATGATCAAAAGATGTCCGCTTAGATTAATACACTTCAAAATGCCTTTTAACGTGAACAATTGTATTTGGCTTATTTAGAAGTCAGGAAAGCATTTGAGAAAATCCATAATGAATTCATGATTCGTCATAAGTTTATCTATTCATGTGTGCCAAACATGTCTTCCACTGAGAGATTACACGTGGGAAACTTTGAGTGGGGGAGGCTGCATCAAGTCTGAAAATAATCTTTATCAGTTAAGATGGTTTGTTTTGCATTCCTTGCTCTTTCTCCTGGTTAAACAAGATGCAGAAAAAGCATGAAGAACATGACTATTTTTTTCTTATTTATTAAAAAGAATCAATCAAATAATTCTGCCCAGCCATTTGGGACAAGGCCTGACCAATCTCATCTAATGTTGCTGCAGAAAGTGTTTATGCTAGTACTCTTTGCTTTGCAATATTCATCGAATTCTTCGCAAATTCTTGCAAAGATTGTTATTCCTTTCCCTGCAGGCCTGCAGGCTTCTGTGCTCAACATCACTCAGAGGTTTTTGTTATTTGTGTACAATTCAGCCCTGGACGCATCCAGAATGAGGAAAAAATACCTCAGATACGGAAATATCTTCAGACTGGATAACAGCTGTGTCCCAAAAGTCCACCGGCTGAACTGGGACATAGAACAGTGAGAACCACAGAGCCCCTCTGCGGGTCACTGGGAGGTCAGACAATAAGATCTGGTCCTCAAAATGTGATTCTGCTCTAATCCACTGTTCTGGGCTGATATGCTGACATACCACAGCTTTCACTTCTTTGAATCTCTCCTTGTTTTCTCTTCCTCTCTCACACTTTTAACCTCAAAAACAATGTTTGGTTAACCCCAAATTCATGTAGTGAAGACTTTACGCAAATTAAACCAAACATCAGCTTGTAAAAAGGTAAGATTTTCTTAAAAATCTTTTTCTGTAGTTTGGTTTCTGTTATTTTATTTTGCTTTGAGATTAGTTATTTATTTATTTATTTTTATTTTGGGCCCTTCAGAAATAATGAAACAACCAAATGGCAAGACAACAAGCAGAATCAGCCAAACAAAAAGCTTAAGTAAATAAATTCTCAAAACATCCCCTCCATTCGTTATTTATCAGTTCCTCGTCCGAAAAGGACGAGGAACTGTTTTTTTTTTTAAGTTAAGCAAATATGAAAAAGTATATTTTAAAGTGATTATTAAATATGTTCCTTGTTTATGTGTAATTATTTTAATTGACGAACAAGTGCTATTTAAACAGATACAAGACCAGGAAATAGTTGATATCAAAAAGAAAATAGTTTATCCATCCATCCGTTTTCAGGGTTTCCTCAGTGTATTATAAGCCCGGTGGGTCTAATGTTGACCAATCCCAACATTAGATGGGATTGGTCAGGCCTTGTCCCAAACGGCTGGGCAGAACTATTTGATTGATTCTTTTTAATAAATAAAAAAAAAAAAGTCATGTTCTTCATGCTTTTTCTTGTGCCCCCACCAGGCTTAGCATTGCTCATTTATGTAAGTCTTTTTAAAATGTTTGCATTTTTATAGTTAGTGTTCAGGTGTTAATCTTCCAATCTTTCAATAAAACATAATTATCAAGTGATATTTTCAAATTTCATGTCAACTTTAAACATTTTTTAACTCAAAAACACGACCGGCTGCTAGCACCCAACCACCGGGCTCAGGCAGGTTTTCTGGGGAAAACCTTGCTTCCTCTTGGTAGAGTCATGAAGAAAAACGGTTGAACAAAGCTTACTAGTGCTACCTCCAACTACATTTTAAACCTAAATGGTGATTTCTCGGCAAAAGGCAACTTACCCACTTCCATGCTCTATATTTCACCCACTGCCACACCCTTTACCCCGATACCTGCACCATATACAAATGATTGAATCATCATAAGTGGCACTCAGTTCACTTCTGTGACAGGACTTGATGCTTAAAGAAAGGAGTTAATTTCTTCAGCTTACAAAGGCTTTCTTGATATTCCTGGAGACACGAGAAGCAGAAGAGGTGGAGCTCCAGGGTTTCTATGAACACAAAGCAGATTAGAAGATTTTGAGATTTTGAGGGAATGATAATGCCAGTATTTTGTTGCCGGTCATCTGCTTGATAAGAAGGATTTTAAACCAAAATAGCCCGTAGTTTCAGTTGCTCCAAAATAAACACTGCATCATGTGTCACAGACGGCTGTTTACATTGTTTCCCTTAGTGGTTTTCTAAAACGGTCTCTGTTGCTCAGACTTGTTTTGGAAAATCCCGGGCCTGTCTGTAATTTGAACAGTGGTTTTCCCAGCAGGAGTGCAGTGGGAAGACCTGCGTATTCCTCTTGTATCCAGTAAATTAGCATTTCAGTGGTTATGAGGTGCAGGTCAGGTGGTACACATTCCCACACTGACTAGACGAAGGGCTGCGGATATAATATGAAAATGCACCAGAAGAAGAAATCCGTTGGTTTCTGTGGGTTAACCGAGCGTTAAACTCCTGTTCAGGTTCAAGTCGACAGCGAAAGTGTGGAATTCCTAAGTTGGTAGCCGGGCGGTGTGAAGAGGAGGCTTTTGATCCCGTCTCGGCCTCGAGATAGGGTGTTGTTTTTGTCTGAGTAACAGTCGGCCAGTTTTCCTGGGCAAAGTGATTCACTTGCGACTGGTGGATCTCAAGTGGGTTTGACATAACTCTGGTTGTTTGACTATGAGTCAGTGTGTCCTCTTTACACATAACAGGATGTTCACTTCACTGCTAAAAACCACATTAGTTTTTAGTTTTTTCTATATGAGGTTGTTCCTCATATAGAAACCTGTATGAGGTTTCTGTATGAAACCTGTATGAGGTTTCTGTATGAAACCTAAGATTTGGTTTCATACAGAAAACGGATGTGTGCTTTGGATTCAGTCAGCCTTAGCACAGAGTCTGTGATTTCTCTTTTTACATCTAATATCTGCAGAGCTTCATTCACTCCTGTACAATTAATTTAGGGCAGAGCTTCACAATATGTAAAAGTTGCAAACATTGTCACAAGTGCCAGAATCACAAATAACTGATTGGATGCAGTATTTAGGAGTCTAGGATTCTCCAGGTCAGTTTCCTTAAAACTTTGCTTTTGGGATCATATATTGGTCTAAATGAAGGGAATTTAGTAAACATGAACTCTGAGGTCTGATGTTATTCTCTGAAGCACACATGACCTTTTCAATATTCCAACAATAGATAAACTGATTTCAGGTACAGAAAAGTTAAAAATGTGTATGCTAGACTTTTTTCAGTATTCATTGTCTACATGTTACTTATGACCTTCCACTTTTTTTCCCATCTTTCCTTTTCCCCTCCTTTCTTCTTTGAGTCTTATCTGTACTTTCTTGTTTCCTTCGTTCCTTCCTTCCTCATTTCCCCATTCCTCATCACTCATACACTTTTTCACTTCCTTCCTTTTTTCCTTTCTCCCTCAACACCTTTTTCCTTCCTTCCTTTTTTCCTTTCTCCCTCAACACTTTTTTCCTTCCTTCCTTTCGTATCACTTTCTTCTGTCCTTAATATTTTTCCTTTTTTGTGAAGGCCATATTTTTTCTGTACCTTAAAAATATTTTGGTCTTCTTTCTGAGATATTCTTCATTTGAAGACGAAACGCAGATCGTATCTCCTGACGGTTTATGATAAACCGAGCTGACTCTTAACTCATCGTGCCTCTTTGCTGGCGGCAGCCATGGACAGACACATTACGTTATCCTTTAATATCATCCTCACAGCCTTGGGGATTCTCAGCAGAAACAATTACTCAAGAGAAAGCAATGCTTTAAGGATTCAATCCACAAAGTTGGTGCGGCCTCAGAGAAACAGCCTTTTACTCCTATCACAGGACAGTGATGAGATTTTATATCAACTGGGACAAAGAGCTCATGTCGCTGTGACCTTTCGCTTTTCTGATGGGGTCATAAAGCAACACGTCCATCCATCTGCCAGAGTCATTCTGTAAATATTTTAGTGACATGAAATGCATTAATAAAGTCCTGCTTGTTGTTTTATGTGGCTCATCCGTTCACTGCTGTCCTCCTCTGTCTCCCTTCAGTGTACATATCGAACTGCTCGATCACTGGCTGTCAGGAAAAGTGTGCGGTCACCCCTCAGGGTCCGGCTTGCTACTGTAAGAACGGCTACGAGATCAGCTCCGATGGAAGGACATGCAAAGGTGAGCTGTTTATCTTTACATAACCAGCTGATGCCTGTGGAATAAGGAATTAGTAACCATTTGGTGCCTACGTATGAAATGCTTTCAATGAATTGAACGTTTTTTTTGCATTTGCATAAGCATCCGCTGCCACTCTTTGAAGAGTCCACTGCCTTTAATTTGTGTTGACGAAAGCTACTTAAAGATATAGTAGGTAACTTTTACAACAAATATGCTTTTTTTTTTTTTTTACACATTTGTTAAAACTGTCACTATGTCCAGAGAGTATGAGACTGATAATCTGTGAAAAGCTCAAACTCCTCTTCCTCCTCTCTATGGCTTTTCTGACATCTCCAGAAAAGCACCACTCCGAGTCAGAAACTACCAATCAGAGCTAGGAAGAGGCTCTTACCGCTGTCTGTCATCCTCGTGTATGCGATGCTCACACCCTCCTCCTTGCTTTCTGCTGCACTATGCTCCTTTCCCACAACGCAACAATAATGCTAAGGCCAGTTAGCGTGGCTACTGATGATGGCAGATAAATGGTTTTGCTATAATTTTAAGTTGTTTTTCTGACACTAACTCAGCTGCAGCACATACACGAGCATTATTTACAGTGCTAAGACCTCCCTCCAGGGAACTGGGAGTTTGCGTTACCTTTGAGCAAAAGGGGGTACGGTTGTTTATGTGTTTGATTCTAGACTTAATTATGGACCACACAAAAAAAACTGCATCACAGAAAACAAATAGTCTTAAAAGTTTTCAATAAGGGATCTTAGTTTTCTTCTATTTTCACCTGCTATATGGATAATCTTTTTCATAGAGTTTGGGTCTCTTTTTAGGTCATTCCTACCTGAAGCACATGCTTTAATGAACTCTGTGGCCATCTGTGCTTTTTTTTTTTTTTTTTTTTTGGCTCAGACTTCGATGAGTGCAGTTTGTACGGGACCTGCAGCCAGACCTGTACAAACACCGAAGGCTCCTACACCTGCTCCTGTGTGGAGGGCTATCTGCCGCAGCCAGACAACCGCTCCTGCAAAGCCAAGAATGGTGAGAATCAACAGGAAACAGTGTCTGTCTGTGTCCAGGTCTGGAGCTCTGCCCTTTTTCGGTACAGTCAGCAGGATTTCTAGTTAGTCTTAATGAATATCAAATCTGGTTTATAATAGTTTCCCAGTCGGGGTAAGGATGTGTGGAAAACTGGTTGAGTTACAGGACTGTATTCCCTTTTTCACTGTCTAGAAGACAAAAAAACTGAATAAAATGAATTACACATTAATTTATTGGTAAATAAATTTCTTTATCTTTGATTTGTAGCAACAGACTCGATGTTCTTGTCGAGTTTTGTTGTTTTTTGAGTAGATCCAAGCATTCAGAAAGTCAAGAGAGTTCTAGAACCGTCTTGAAAAGTTTTAATAAGTGTGAGATTTGCTTATCCTTTTCTTGATGGAAACAGAAAGCACAGCATATAAAAAAAGTTTGAGTTTCCAGACTTTATTCTAATTCCTAAAAAATAACACTCTGAAAATGAATACTTTAGACCTCACTTGTCATAGATTTTCCACATTGAAAATCGAGTTTACCATTTAATTTATAAATATTTAGATTTTTGACATACCGACTGAGAATCTAGTCAGAAACTGAGTACTGACGGCAGCCATTTATAAGGCTTTTTTTTCTAGCATCTTGATAACCGAACCTTTATTTTTAAACCAGGTCTAGTGTAGATGGTAGCAAGTGTGACTCGCCACAGTAAAAGACTTGTGGGGTCTAAATGAATCCGTCTCATAAAATCGCTGCAAAGTTAAATATATATATATATATA